CGCTGGAGATACCACGTGGATAATTTGGCAAACAAGGAGCCCCTTAGAAACGTGGGGCCTTGAAAAACTCATTTCGACCTCCTGGGCCTCAGTTTCCCCTTTGGTAAAGCAATTTTCTCCTTTGACATTAGAGCAGGGCTCGGCACGCTTTCTCTGTAAAAGACCAGATGGTAAATATTTTCAGCTTCGAGGGCCAGTCTCTGTCGTGACTACTCGACGCCACCTTCGTAGCAGAAAAGCAGCGCCAGAAGCTGGATGGACGAAGGGGCGTGGCCGTGTGCCAATAAAACTGTATTCGTCACACTGAAATGTGACTTTCCCATCATTTTCTGTATCAGAAAATATTCTTCCAATTTTCTTTCAACCGGTTAGGAATGTAAAATTCATTTTTAACTCACAGATCCTACAAAAACGGGTGTGAGCTGGATATGGCCCATGGGCGGTATCTTGCCAACCCCTGATCTAGGGTCTCCTTGATGCTGGGAGGTGTTTGGGATATAGAACATGCCCTTGGAGAAATGCAAATCAAAACCCCCACGAGCTACCACCTCACACCCGCCAGAATGGCCATCGTCAATTAATCAACAGACGGCAAGTGCTGGCGGAGACGTGGAGGGACGGGAGGCCTCGTGCGCTGCCGGTGGGACTGTGATTGGTGCGGCCACTACGGAAAACGGTCTGGAGGTTCCGCAAAAAAAAAATCATGACCCGGAAACCCCTCTTCCGGGTATTTAGCCGAAGAAAATGAAAACGCTAATTGGAAACGATATCTGCATCTCTGTGTTCGTCGCAGCATTATTTACAATAGCCGAGATACGGAAGCCACCTAGATGTCCATCAGTAGATGGACGGACAAAGGAGCGGTACATACACACAACGGAATAGGATTCAGCCATACAAAGGAACGAAATCTTACCATTTGCCACAACACGGATGGACCCGGGGAGTGGTCGGCCGAGTGAAATAAGTCGGACAGAGAAAGGCAAATACTGTATGATTTCGATGATATGTGGAATCAGAAAAACAAAACAAAGAAACAAAACAAAACAGAAACAATGGGATCATAGATACAGAGAACAAACTGCTGGTTGCCGGGGGAGGGGTGGAGAGACAGGAGAAATAGGTGAAGGGGATTCAGAGGTACAGATTTCCAGTTATAAAATAAACAAATCACGGGGTCGTAATGGGCGGCATGGGGACTACAGACAATAATATCGTAATAACTTTGGATGGTGACCGATGGTAACTAGACTTATGGCGATCATTTTGTGATGTATAAAAATACCAAATCACTGTGTTGTACCCCAGAAACTAGTATAATATTGTGTGTCAACTATAATTTAATTGAAAAAACCTGCCCCCGGTCTTTAGCGTCAAGCTAGGGCAAATACTTTCAAGATTCATTTATTCAACAAATCTTTATCGAACCCTATGCTGTGCGCCAAGCATTGGTCTGGTCACACAGTGAATTAGACATAGTGCCTGCTCTCATGGAGGTCACAGTCCGGCGAGGGAGAGACAGGCCATAAACGGGTAAAATAAATATATTTCTAATGTGCCATGGAGAGGAAGCATGGAAAGGGAGAGGAAAAGCAGGTGGGAATAGGGGAAAGGTTGCGGTTTTAAATAGGATGTCAGAGAAGGTCTCACTGAGAACGTGACATTTTGGGCAAGGGCGTAAAAAGTCGGGAACGGTGTGGGTGACAGTCAGGTACCTGGGGGAAGCGTTCCGCAGCCGGTGCCAAGGCAGGAGGACTGTGTCTGGTGTGCTGGATGCCCGGTGAGCAGGCCCACGTGACTGGAGAGAGCCAGCTGGCGTTCACCAGACTGCTGATGCTGGATGCGGCGTGGGAGACACGGAGGAGCATCCGGGGCGATCCGGCATTTGGACCTGAGCACCTGGAAGGACGAAGCTCCTGTTTAGTTGCAGGAGGGGAAGGTTTGACGGAAAAGCCGGAGCTCAGTCGGCCACGTTGCGTGTGACACCCCCACGTGGAGACATTGCAAAGGCCATAAGATATGCCAGCCATTTCCCAGCCTGCAGCAGTTAACGCCCCAGACGAGGTCAGGCTTCTAGACAGGATGGACGTAGCAGGAGAACTAACTGCTCTTGCAGCACGAACTGAGATGGTTCATTTGAGTTTAATGTCTCACGTCCCGATATCTTGAAGGGGTGGCACTGGACTTATAAACGATCGCTGCTTTTTTGCAGGGAGGAAGGTCCAAGCGTGTTATTCTAACATCTGGAAAGAAATCGAGGCCGGCTTATTATGTTGGGGGTTCGACAAATATTCGGTTGGGGCCAAGCGAATGAATGAATGACGAGCGAATGAATGAAGGCATGAAGGGGAGCGACCTCCCTTCCAGTTAGTCCCTGGAACAGCTGGCATGGGTGCCTTCTCCCAGGAGAACCGCCCTCCTTTCTGGCTGCTGTGTTCTTAGTGATCTGCTCACATCCCCAAATGCAACAACAAACAGAAACAAAACAAACACCCCCCGCACCCCATCCCCAAGAAACGCGAGGCCAGGAGAGGCAGCACGAAGTGATCAAGCGCCAGAATCCAGACTCCATCCCAGCTCCGCGCTCATGGGCCACATTGTCCCAACAAAAGAAACCCTCCAGAATCCCAGGACGCTCCGCAGTTTGAAACACTTCGGGGGCACGAGGAGAGGCCCGCGATGCAAACGCACGGCGCGCGCCCGGGGAAAAAGCGCAAACTGAGGGGCCGCGGGTATTTAAAGTAGCGACACAGTTCAGGGTCCTTGCCATCTTTCACACCGGCTGAGCGGGACTTAATTCGTTGACACCCTTTCGAGAGTGCAAAGCGTGGCGGGCCGTGGGAGCATGGGCTGCAGGAGGGAGGAGCTCTGGACGCCTTGGCCGGAGGCGGGGGGCAGAATCGCGGCCAGGAGGCGGGGCAAGGAGAACTTGCCACTTTCCTGGGGACCAAGGCCGGAGGTCGTCAGAGGAGGCAGTTGCTTGCGGTGTCCACTAGAGGGCGTGGGGGACCGGACGCTGACCTCGGTCCCAGCATCCACGGTCTCTGGTAGGGAGGTGGGGGTCCACCGCGTGCTGTGGGGCGGCTGGAAGGGGGGGCTTTGAACCTGGAAGCCCCCTACTATGCTTCCGGAGTTGGAGGTTTGGAAGAGACCGGTTAGCAAATCAGGGCAGGTGTCCGCAAACTTTCTTCTTATGGGGCCATATGGCAAGTAGTTTAAGGGCAGTCTCTCCGTCATAGCTGGTCAACTCTGCCCTCTAGCTACAAAACAGCCATAGAGGACACACCAACCAGTGGGCCTGGCTACCTGCGGATGAAATTCTATTTTCCGAGGCTGAAATTTCAATTTCATGTAATTTTCCTGTGTCACGAAATAACTTTTCGATGTATTTTTAACCACTTAAAAATGCAAAGACTGCTCTGCTCTCGGGCGTAGCTTGTCGACGGAGTATTGACGATAATAAACATTTGTTTGACACTTGCTGGGTACCGGGTATTAAATGTGTAAATGTAGTGCCTTATGTAGTGCATTTAACACTCAGAGTAGATCTTGTTTTAACACCCGCTCCTCTATAAGACAAAATGTTGCAGTAATCATTATGAAAAGCAATAAATAATATTTGTCGCCAGAAAAGAAATAGAGTAAAAATTTTCTTTTATTGAACAGCGCATATGGAAGCATGCCGGTAACATATATAAAATGAATTTCACAGTCCACTCAAGGGAGAAAAAGATGAACAAATACGGTTTACTTCCATTAACGAGTTTTTTAAAGAAAAACTTATCTACCTAACGGTCTGTCGCAGTAATGAATAATAACATGACAGGTTAATAATGAGCCAATAATCAAATAAGAATAACAGTCTAAAGAAAAAAATTTTTTCTTTTAATAAAAGGTATGGCTCAAATTCAGCAAAGATACTGTGTTTGAATTTAGATTTGAGTTTACCCAAAAAGAAGAATATCATTTGCAGTTTGGCACGCTGCTTAAAATTTTAAATACAAATAGAAGTTTCAGGTGGTCAGATGGACTACAGAAGGTGAGGTTGCTCAAACCTGACTTCTTTGTATTTAAAATCACGGGGCATCATTGTTTTATTGAGAGTCTCCTGCTGCTTCAACACAAGAACGTGTGACATCACAGGGGTGGAAACGTGTGACCTGCGCCCGACGAGAACTCTGAAAGATTTAGAATCGTCAAGAATTAATTCTCAAAATGAACACGCGTAGCTACTGCATCTGACACGGAGGTCCCCACATCCACTTCCCTGTGGAATACAGCGCGTGGTAAAGCGTACACCATAAAGACGTGCTAATTCAGAGCTTCCAGTTTTTAATCATCGACAGTAACCGCAGCAACTGTTTAGACCAGGAGTCGACGAACCGCGACTTGCCGGCCAAAGCCGGCCCAATGTCTACCATGTAGGAGCCAAGGATGGTTTTTTAACTGGCTGCGGGGAAAATAAAAAATAAAAAAAGAATAATATTTCGTGACGTGTGCAAAGTATATAGAACTCACGTTTCAGCATCCGTATCTCAAGGTTCCTGGCACAGAACATGCTCATTCACTCACGAGTTGTCTGCGGTGGCCCTCACACCGTGACAGCAAGCTGTGTGGTCGCCGCCTGGCTCACGGAGCTGAAAATATTCACTCTCTGGCCCTTTACAGAAAAAGCTTGTAGACCCCTCCTTTACGCCAACTGATGATTTCTTAGGGGGAGAGATTTTCATCCCTGACGTGGTTCAGAAAGGGCCTCTACACGGCGATACTCGGAGAGCAACTCACAAAATAGGGTTTGTGATCGTTTTTTGAATTTTCAAAAGATGATGTGCCTCTTCACTGACAGCAGCTGGGGCGAGCTGCTCCCCTCACCCCACCCTTGGCGTGGAGCCCGCTGGCTCTTTACTGTGACCCCCATTTTGGAGAGGCGGTAGCTGAGGCACAGAGAGGCCAAGCAACTTGCCCAAGGTCACACAGCTTGCAAGAGGAGGGAGTGAACGATGACGCGGCAGTGCCCGGGTCTCCTGCCTGATATCGCTGTGAGCACTGCCACCTAGAGGCAGCTCCGGCTTTGCACCACGACCTTGAATTTCAGCATCACAGCTTACAAGCCGCACAAGCTTGGGCAAGAGGCATCGGCTCCCCGAGCCTCGGTCTCCTCATCTGTGAGGGGGTATGGCAAATCCCCCGCCCACTGGGGTTTTCGGAGGACCGAGTTCACGTGTGCGTTTCACCATTCGTTTCACCGCGAATGGTCGGTAAGTGCTGTGGTTTTAATTAGGTCGGGTGCTCACGCCTGGTGCCGGGCCTGGGCTGAATGGCCCCAGAGAAGGAAAGTCTCAGGGAATGAATGGGGTGGAAGGGGATTCATTGCATAGAATCCCCTTGCAGGGATTTTGCTGGCATGCAAATCGCTTGCATGCAAATTGCATGTAAAAAACTCCCTAATGAGCGTGAGGAATTACTTCCTCGTGGATCCTCCCTTAAGCCATCTGATTCAACCCAGGGGCCCTGAACTGGGTGCTGCTGTCTCTTAGACACCTCTCTGTGGATCCCGTTTTAGGAGTCAGCTAATCCAGAACCTTCCATAGGCAACAGTAGCTGCCTCGAATTTAATAACCTTATTTATTTTCCTTTGCCTGTTTCAGGCACCTGATACTCTTCTTTTTATTTACCCTAGGGTGACAATGTTTCCTTTTAAGATAAGGTTGTAGAAGAAAAAAGTTTAGTACTGTCTCCAGCATTATCGTCCACTTGGCTTTTTTTTCTGCGATAAACTTGTTTCAGAAAGCCGCTTTATAACGTGATGGTAAGGTGGGACCGATACCAGGCGCAGTGTTCTCTGGCTGGGCCAGTCTCATCCGCGTGTGGCTGGTGGGAGTCTCCACGAACGCCCACGCCTCGGCCCACGACTCAGGCCAACGCCAGTCCTGATCAGATTTCCCCTGGGATTAAACATTAACCCAATGTTTGACCCGTGAGGGCCTGTATAAAACATTTAGATCAGTCGTCACATTTTACAGATGGGAAAACAGAGCCTCAGAGGGGGAAAGGGACTTCATGGTGTCACACAGCCAGTTTGTGGCTGAGCCGGGGGTGGGACGTAGATCCCTTGGCACCCAGGCAAGAAAGTAATTCTACACAAGATGGGAAAGTTACGAGTTGATTCGAGATGAGGCTGACGTTCCAACTCGGCCGCAAGCAGGCCCGTCTCCCTTGGGATCCGCGGGGCACAATGAATGTGAGGTTCATTCCACAAATATGTTTGAGCCACTTTGGTGGTGTGGGACCATTTTCAGGGATGGGGCACCTCAGTGACCACCACTGACAGGTCCCCGCTTCCTGGCGTGGACAGATGACACAGGTGAATAGCAGAGCCCCCCAAAGGTGTCATGCTAAAATGACTAGGGCGAGGGTGACTTTGGCTGGGGTGACAGGGCAGCTCCCTGGGGGAGGCGACCACTGAGCCGAGACCGCTGCCAGGCTCGGGTTTCCCAGCGGTGTGGGTTGACTATGTCATTCCCCACAGCCTGCCCTGCATTGCTGTGCTGAAGTCCTAACCCCAAGACCTCGGGACATGACTGTTTGGAGATAAGGACTTAACAGAGGCGATAAGTTGAAATGAGGTCATTAGGGGCCCCTGATCCTATGACTGGCATCGTTATCAGAAGAGGCAATTTAGATGCAGAGGCTCAGGGAAAAGAGGCATCTAGGGGCCAAGGAGAGAGGCCTCAGGGGGAACCTACCCCTCCCAGCCTTGATCTTGGACTTCCAGCCCCTGGAACAGGGAGGCGAGAAACTTCTGTCGTTTCGGCCGCCTGGGCTGTGGCGTTTCTTCTCAGCATCAGGACAAATTCAGTGTCTGGAGTACGGAGGGGCCTCGTACCCCTCCCTGCGGGCTCCTTCCCCCCCCGAGCGCCGCTGGGTGGGGCAGGAGGAGACACCCCTGAGACTCCTCCCCCACAGGGAAGAACCTGGAGGACACACCTGTAGCCAGGGGAGGCCTCCTTTCCCAGTGAGAGGTCCCTGCGACCCTTGGACCCACCAGCCATAAAGCTAGCGCCAGGATGAGGTGGTGGCTAGATGTGGAGGGGACCGGCCCTGCCTGCTGGTCGAGGCTCAAGGCCCTCATGGGGCCCCCACAGAATTTTCCCAGTGAGGGGGACCGCCCTCCTACGGGCGGCTAAGAGAGAGCCCTTGACACCAGGGCCTCCTGGCCCCGGCCATGCACATGTCCCACCCGACCTCCTCTAGAAACTTCTAGAGCCGTCATAGGCCTACAGTCAGACTTCTCGCCTTCGGTCCCTTCCCTCCCTCCCCTCCCCCTCGCCGGCTCTGCTCCAGCCCCCCACCCTTGCTGTCCCTTCTCCCCCGGGGCCTTCACACTGGGGCCTTCTCAACACTCTTCTCACGTGACACGTTCCCACTGGACCATCTCATATAAAGTTACCGGTCTTCATCTCCTTCCTGCTTTATTTTTCTACACATGTTACTTATTTTATTGCTTATGCACAAATGATTTCGTTCAGTATGTCTCCCCGCATGGGGACGTCCGTGCCACCGGGGCAGGGAGCGGGGGACAATTTACGTTCCCTGCTGTCTCCCTAGCGCCTGGCACACAGTCACAGGAATGAATGAATGAATGAATGAATGAATGAATGAATTCTCGGGCATAATGTCCTTCATTAGGAAGAGCAGAGGGAGCCCTTCCCCGCAACGAGCTCTCCTCCCTCATGGTTTTTGGAGACTGGGGTTCAAACCCTGTCGTCACCTGCCCCCAAGAGCTCAGAACCCCCTGGGCATGCCACAGTGACAGATGTGAGGGGACAGGGAACTGGGCAGCCTCGAGGGTCCGGTGCTGAGCAGCTGGCATTGCCCAAGAGGCAGATCAGAGTCCCCCTGTCCCCCAGCCCCTGGCCTGCCTCTGCCACACCCATGTCACAAGGGTTTTACTCAAGGCCCGGCCTGGCCATATTCCAAGGGAGGGTCCTGGAGGAGGAGGCGGGGGGCAGGGCTCGGTCACGGAGTGCTGCTCCGGGCCCCTGGCCTCTTCCGCCTAAAACTGACCTTAAAGGGAAGTATAAGGAGAAGTCAAAAGAAACGGGAGGTGACATGGTGACAAGGGGCAAGCCCCTGTCTGGAGCGGCGGGTCTGGGCGTTGTCTCGACCGTGGCTGACTCACGGAGCGGCCGCGGTGAGTCACAGCCCCTCTGTCCTCCTGTGTAAAGTGGGGACCGTCATGACGACCAGACTTGTGCTAATGCCAAAGGGCTGAAGCCACTGGAAAGCGACAGGCGGGCAGGCGTCTGCCAAGCCAGAGACACTACTAGTGACCATAGTAACAACGAGACACTTACTAGCGATTGTGGTAACAACATGCAGATGCTACATTCTCGGACCTGACTGCGTGGAGGTCCCTTCTAAGCTTGTTGCATGTTTTCGTTTGTCGAATCCTCCCAACGACCCGGCGAAGCAGGTCCTTTATCTCTCCCATTTTGCGGATAAAGAAACTGAGGCAGGGAGAAGCATAGTCACACAGCAGCGAGTCGAATGGCCGAGTCAGGATTCGAACCCAGGTCTCGCTCTAACTCGGTGCTGAGAGAAGTATCGCATATCACTTTAAATTTTCTAGTAGCTACCTTAAAAAAGCACAGAGTAAAATTAAGTTTCGTCTTCATAATATATTTCAATGATTGGAGTAATAAACCCAAGCTACTAGCATTTCGACGTGTGGTCGGTATCAAAATTATGAATGCGAGGTTTAGCTTTTCTTCACGCCGATCTTGTGTGTATTTCCCCAGTGTTGTATTTCTCACGTCCAGCACATCTCAATTCAGACAATAAATTTTCATCAGAAATCCTCGGTCTGTCTGTGCTTATAGAGTTCAGAAAATCTACAGTGAAAAATGTAGGTTCGTGAACCCACACGTTCCGTGAGTACTCAGAACTTGTTCATTAACTTGTCTGAGTACCGGATTTAAATTTTCAGTCAATGAAAATGAAATCAAATTTAAAAATCTAGTCCTTCAGTCACACTCTTCAATAGCCACAGTGGCCTGAGGCTCCTGTTTTGGGTGGTGTAGGTGTCGTCTGCTAAACCTGTGAATTACACAAAACTCTTCTGAAAAGGGCCAGGTAGTAAATATTCTCGCTTTGCAGGTGACAGGGTCTCTGTTGCAACTACTCACCTCTGCCATCATAGCCTGAAAGCAGCACAGACGATATGTAAACAAATGGGCGTGGTCGTGTGCCAATAAAGGGTTATTTACAAAAAACAGCAAAGGGCCGGAATGAGATTCGGTTCATATGCTAAACTCAATGATCATATTTATACACGTGTGGTTGTTCCTTCTGTAAGTATCCATTGGGTAGCTACTGTGTGCCAGGTGTGACGCCGGGCCCTGGGGACACTGCACACAGGTGCTCTTGTGACGATTGTCCCAGATAAACCTAACTGGAGACTTTCTAGCTCTCCACGCACACCCCTTCCTCTTTCCAACTGCTAAGCTCCTGGGCCAAGGTCAAGGCAGGAAGAGCAAGAGACATTTTTGTCGAATGAAATAATTAATGAATATTCATCCCCTAGGACTGGCCTCTGCCTTGCTCAGAATAGACACTCCATAAATGTTTGTTGAATGAATGCACACCACAAGAAAGAATTAAAATAGATGGTGCGTCAATATTTTCGATATTGTCCCGTATCAGTATATACAGATAATCCTCGTTCATTTTCACAGCTGCATAATATTCCATTGTGTGACTACATCAGACTCTCTTAATCGATGCCCTATTGATGGATATTTCGATCACTTCCAGGGTTTTAGGAAATGCTTAATGTACGTGGCTGTTCATTGTATACTGTGTACTTTTTATTGAGGTAGAGTTAATTTGCAATAAGAATATAAGGTTTTAGGTGTGTTCAATTTGATGCGTTTTGGCGGAGTAGCGTTCTGTTATCCAGACATACCAGTTCCGTTTGTCCATTCCCCCGTTCTTGGATATTTGAGTTGTTTCCAGTTTGTGACGATTATACACATAAGGCTGCTATGAACATTCACGTGCAAGTTCTTCTGTGAACATACGGTTGCATTTCTCTTAGGTCAATAGCCAGGAGTGAAAATCACACGGTAAATAAATGTTTAACTTTATAAGAGGCTGTTCGATTTCCCAAAGTTTCTCGGAGTGCTCGGGTCATTTTGATGCTCAGTGGGGGAGAGTTTCAGTCACTGCATATCTTCCACCAACATCTGATGTGGTCCCATCTTTTTTATTTTCGTCATTCTATTGGGTATCTTTCAACGTTTTCATACGCCGGGATGGTTCAGAATAAATGAAGTCAAAAGCAAAATCAAAACCCACACCTGCCCGGTTATGTTTGGGAAACGCTATAAACTCTGTTCCCTCCGGGAGCGTTGCAAAGGCTCTGATAAGTCCTGCAGAGCCATTTGTTAATTCAGTGTTCCTCAGTCCTCTTTGATCGCGGCAGCCTTTTGGAGTCCACACGAAGACATATTGGCGGAATCTGTTATGGGAATTTTATTTTGGATTCCACTGTAGTATGGCTTTGAAATATGTGATTATGTTCAGTCGATGAGATGATGTGACATCAAGGGCGTCAAAAAGTCCCCCTGTTCCTCATCAGAGCTGGCAATCTCCTACCCACCCTCCAAGCCCTCCACGCCTGAACCCATGCGATCGATTTCTTCTAGAATCTTCTGTCGTTCATTCATTCAACAACCATTTATCGAGCCAAACTTGTTCCCACCCCAGGGTCTTTGCATTTGCTGTTCCCTTTGTCTGGGACTCCTTGGCCCTCCTCGCTCATGTTGATCTTTCTCCTACTTGTTCAGACAGCTCTTCATCGGGGTGTATAAAGCCTCCCAAGGTCCATAATTATAAACATTTAAAGCAACAGAAATATCCTGGGAGGGAGACCAGGAGCATCTCGGTCCACACGAGGGTGTAAGAGCCATTTTCCCCACAGGTTTTCGCGAGAGAGGCGTCCTACCTCAAGGACGCTGGACTCCTGAGAGCCGTAAAGCGGGCAGGGGGGCCGAGCGAAGCGCTGAGTCGGGTCTCGCTGACCTGGGACCGCCCTGGCGTGGTGCCTGCGCAGCCAGGGCTGAGTAAACATGACGACCGACCGGATCGCGAAAGACAAGCCCAAGCCAGCGGGGTTAAAAGGGAAATGAGGATGACTCGTGGGCTGAGGGCGAGGTGATGATGCCAGCATCCAGAGGGGACAGTTACTGCAGTGCAGGGTCTCACCCCACGCCAGTGCTGGCGTTCTCTGTGGGGAGCCTGTCCTCAGCTGTGGGGCGTTGAACAGCATCCCTGGTCCCCACCTGCTTGGTGTCAAGAGCTCCCCCAGTCGTGACAACCACACAGGTCTCCCCAGACATCTCCGAGTGTCCCCTGGGGGTGGGGGACCGCGTTCATGCAAGCCATCATCGGAGGAAAGGAAGACTTCAGGCGTGGTACATAGTAGGTCCTCATTTAGCTTTTGTTGCATGAGTGTATAATGACTGGTCCACCGAGAAGCACACACTAGATTGTGAATTTCTTGGGAGCAAGGAAGATGTCTTAGTTACCGCTGTGAACCTGGCCCTTGGCATCATGCCTGGCACACAGAAAGTGTCATGGAGCCCTGTATTCGCTAAGCTCCCAATAGCTTTGGACTGTGCTTAGCGTAAGCCGAACTCCTTGTCACAGCCCACGGGCCCTGCGTGACCTGCCCCGCCCCCTCCCCTGGAATCCCCCCATCCCCCCCGTCCCCCTCGCTCCCTCTGCTCCGGCCACACGGGCCTCCTCGCTGCTCCTCCAACACGCCAGGCTCGGTCCTGCCCCAGGGCCTTTGCACGTGCCTTTCCCGTGGCCTGAAATGTCCTTCTCCTCACGTCCTCATGGCTGGCAATGTCGCATCACTCAGTGCTTCAACGTCACCTTCTAAAGGGGCCGTTCCCAGCCCTCCATGCCCTTTGCCATGGTTACGTTTAGTTCCTCAGTGGCGCTCGCCCAATCATCTGCTCACTGGTTTGTTTTCACAGTTACGGTGCAGCCTGTTCGCTGCCTCATCCTTAGTGCCTGAAACAGTGGTTGGCACAGATGAGTGAGAGCTGACTGAGCACCTACTGTGTGCCAGGCATTTCCCAGGCGCCGGGGACCCGGCAGAGACTCTATTCTGACCCCGAAGGTCCCCCCGGTCCCGGGTGGAGCAGGGAGGGAGGAACCACAGGAGGACAGCGAACAAGTAAATAAATGACGTTTTCAACAAAGAGGGTCGCGGTGAGAACGAGGGTCCGATGAAGAGGTGCGGGCCGTCTGGGCTGATTCACAGGGACCGAACGTTCACGAATACGCAAATATGCGGACACGGCGGCGACAGAGTCAGGGGTTGAGAGAGGGGCGAGGAGTCCCAGACCGAGGGAACAGCAAGTGCGGAGGCCCTGACGTGGGAACAAGTTGGGCTCGATCGAAAGTTGTTGAATGAAAAAAAAAAAATGACAGAAGATTCTAGAAGGGATCAATTGCACGGGTTCAGGCATGGAGGGCTTGGCGGTGGGTAGGCGGTGGCCGCCCCGATGATGGAAGGGAGTTCCTGGCGGGGGGAACCGCTCCAGCATCGGCCCGGGTGGCCCTTCTGGTTTCCTTCTGTCCTGGGAGTGACAGGATCCGGCCAGGGGCCCTGGGCTCTCCTGGGTCCCCACATCCGGGACTCTGATGAGAAACAGTCTCCAAAAGTAGGGGAGAGGTCACGGCAGAGCAGAGGCCCCCAGACTTTGGCCTTTGCCCCATGTCGTCTGGAAAAGCACAAAACAAGATAACGGGTCTTCTCTTCCCGCCCCCTGGCCTGCCCTGGCGTGACTGGCCTTTAACCCTGTCTGTCTTGCCTGTCCCCCAATCGGCAGCCAGGGGTGGGCTGGGAGCTCTCCAGGATTATTTCAGCATCTTTGGGGGGTGGTGACAGAACTACAGAGACAAGCAAGCCTTGGGGTGAGCCTCTGGCTCAGAGCAGAGACACAGAAAGCAACTGGAGGCAGAACTGGCCGGGCTGGTGAATGGGGGTTTAGCTGCTGGAAAGGTGAGCCATGCCTGGGGCCATGGGAGTGGGGGGGCAGTCTATGCCAGGAAACCCTCCCCAAGCCCCGAGTTGAAAGGAACCCCCACCCCCATTGCACAGACGGGAAGACTGAGGCCCAGAACATATAAATGCAGTGACCGAAAGCATACCTCCACGCCAGGCCTGCTGTGTCTGTCCTCCAGGTCACCCCACCTCCCAGGAGGGGGACTGGGGGCAGGCTGTGAGATGAAAGAGACAGCCTGTCCCATCAGCCCGGAGGGAGTGACCGCCCCGACCGCCCCCCACGTGCATCTGTTTGGCATGTTTTAAAGACACTGGCTCTCATGCCTGGGCCTCTGGGTCAGCTCCTCAGCTCAGATTTGGGGGCGCAGGCCGGGCCTAGGGGCTGAGCAGGGATCAAACTTCAACTGGACAGACCTCAGGTGCCGTGAAGATGGGAGCTGGGGGCAGAGGGGCTGTGTGACCCTTACGCCCACCCCCTCCTCGCCCCAGATGGCTTCCTCTACCTCTCCCATGGGCCCCATCGACAGCCTGGAGCTCCTGGATCTCCTGTTCGACCGGCAGGATGGAATCCTGAGACACGTGGACCTGGGAGAGGTGTGGAACCACGTAGGGGACCAGGTGAGGCCCCCGCGGCGGGCAGCACTCCGCTCGGCTCGGGAGGGCGGACGGCTCATGGCGTGTGACTTCGGCAAACAAAACACGTTACTGTGTTAAACCTCTCGGGCACCCCAAGGCACAGGCAGCCTCGGATCCTGGAGGTGATGGGACCGAGGCCCAGTGGGGGGTGGTAACTTCTCTGGGGTCACATCACACCGCGGTTTGGAATTGGGTCCAGACTCAAACTCGGGGGTCGTACCTTGACCCAGCTGCATTCGAGCCCCACAAAGCTTCCATCTTCTAGAAAGGATGAGCGAGGCCCAGAGACGGTCAGCGGCTTGCCCAAAGTCACGCAGCAAGCCAGAGCAAAGCACAGGCCTCATTCCCGCCCCCTCTGCGTCCCAGCAGGTCCTGCCAGGCCCGGACTCCGACGATTTCCTCAGCTGTATCTTGGGCTCCGGAGACTCATCACCCAGCTCTCCACTCTGGTCTCCTGCGGCCAGTGACAGTGGCCTCTCCGAAGATCTGCCCTCTGACCCCCAGGACACCCCTCCACACACTGTTCCAGTCACGGCTCTGTCCAGCTGCCATGTCACAGAGCCTAGCAAGGGGCTCTGCCCTTCCTACTGTCCCGTGCCCCCCGGCCCCGCCAGGCCCCCCGGGCCAGCAGCCCAGGGGCTTGAGGCCTCTGTGGCCATAGACCTAGGTGAGTTCTGTGTCTTCTCCCCCAACCCTCGCCGTGATATGCACAGGCCCCTCCTCGAGATGGATGCTGTTGTGGGCCTGTGAGGTTGAGCCACGAGTCGAAGCTGCAGAGCTGGGGTGCACCCTGGCAGGCAGGCTGAGGCACAGGGGTCACCCTGGCAACCTCGTCTTCCCCCCACCCCCATGCCCGGGTACTGTAGATGCTCCAAGAGAGTCCGTGAGTTCACGGACTGCAGCCATCAGGGTGCTCCTCCTGGACCCGGGGAGCGAGCCTTAGTTCCTCTGTCCCCTGAGCCTCGTAACGGGGTGGGAGGCCTTCTGAGTCCCACTGGAGAGCTGAAGAAACTGAGGCTCAGAGAAAAAAAAAAAGGTCATAGGGGGTTAGACCTCAAGGCCATGTGACTGTGAAGTTTGTGCTCTGGACAGCAGCCCACCCATGCTGGGCCAGGCGGCAGGCGGGCAGGAACCAGAGGTGACTCAGACCTGGTCACTGCTCCTTAGGGGAAATATGGCCAGCTGGCTGCAGATCTGGTCTCTCACCTGGGGGAACAAGAGCCACCCTCTCCTGGTTGGCTTGGGTCCCTCTGCAATGCCCTGAGGAACCTGAGGGGAGAAGGAGGCACAAGCCGGGGCTGTCCCCAAGCTGCCCCAGAAGCCCTTAGCGCATTGGGTTCAATCCTGGAAGCCTTGCTGGAGGAGGCGGGTAGAGGCTGGGAGGCCGGCGCCCCTCCTGACACCAGCCCTGTCTCTGCCCGCTCTGTCCCGTCAGAAATGTGGAGCCCGGGCCTCGAGGAGCAGGCTGGGCCAGCGGACCTGCCCCCGCAAGGCGGCCTCACAGTGAAAGACCTCCTCCTCTCGGACAGCGGCGGGGACCTGGTGAGCAGCCCCCACCCCACCCCGCACCCGACCCCCGAGCATCAGAGCTGGGGGGCGCCGCCGTGTTCACAGGCCCCAATACCCCTGTTTCCGGGCTGGAAAACTGAGTCGCGGACGAAAGGCTGAGACTCGTCCCGGGTCCCAGCAGGAGCAAGTCTGTGGCTTCCAGTCCTGAGGTGTCCATCTCCTGGGCTGAGGCGCCTTCTACTGCAGTGGCATGAAAAAAAAAAAAACCAAAAAGCCAAAACCTTCTAAGCACCTACGATAGGCCAGGCACCCTCCTAAATGCTTCGACCGTATGGCCCTGGAGTTCACCGCCATCCCCAATAGTGGGTTGGGGCTCTTATTATCTTAACTTTACACATAAGTTTGGGTTTTTTAGGGTAGGGGAGCTCACGCACACAGTTGTCCCAGGACCAATGTGTAGATGGGAAAAGCACCCTCTCACCCCAACGGCCCTGACACCCAGCCCCACGCAGGTCCCGGCAGCTCCTTCCAAAGAAATGCCTTCTTTTTTTAAAAAAAGAAATTGAACTTAACATAAAAAGCGGCACAGACACGGAGCGAGCTTTTGTCCCTTTACTGTTAACGTGACGCTTTAGCTGGTGCCCGTCCCAGATCGCGACACGGGGACTTCCTCGCAGCTGCGTGGCACCCCTTCCTACCAACGGGCCGGGCCCGATTTAGCCTGTCTCCTCCTCGCCGGGTATTTCTATTGCTTCCGATGCTTCGCTATTCGAGCGCCGCAGTGAACCTTCAGAGCCCGGCACAGTGCCTGGCACGTAGCAGGTGCGCCATGAATACCTGTCGAGTGACTCTTTGCTAAGTGGATGAAAAACCCGCATGTCCATCCTCGTGCGCATGTCTGAGGCGCTCTGTAGGGCCGATTCCCGGAAGTGGCACTGCGGTGTCAGAGGGCCGCGTGCTGGACTCTCGGGCCTTAGTGCCGGTGGGGACTCTACAGGAGACGGATCGATAGTTTTCTCAAATCTGATGACGCCGCTTTCATTCCCTAGAGGATGTCGCCCTCCCCGCCCCCAACGCGATTTCCCTGTTTCTTCCATAGCAACAGCATCACCTGGCCGCCCCCCACCTGTTGCGACCTGGGCCTGGGCACTGCCAGCAGCTGGTGCTCACGGAAGACGAGAAGAAGCTGCTGGACAAAGAAGGCATCACCCTGCCCACTCAGCTTCCCCTCACCAAGGTGGGTCGGTGGGATCCTCGGCTCTGGGTGTCCCCCTACCCGCAGCTGCCTGCTCATGAATCTCACCTTTAGGTCTCCCGCGCTAGAATGTTAGGACGTATCTGTCACCAGAAAATCATCCAAAAGCCAACTCAGCGGGGCCTCTAGCTCCCCGCGGTCCCCGCCCAGCCCGTTCACCTAAGACGAACAGGTTTTGTTTTAGGTTCGCCCTGCCCTGCCGACTGGGAGGTATCCCTTAGCGTTGGTATCTGCAGGCTCCGCCCAAAGCGCTGTTCCCAGAGACGGCAGAAGGTGGCAGCACCGCACAAAGTTGGTAGCTCGTTACCGACTGACCGTGGGAGCCGGGAGGATTCCCCGGGCGCAGGGACCCCGCTAGAGACTGCAGGAGTCAGGGGCAGGAAAGCTGGTCTTTGAGACGGCGGGGCTCTGCCCTCAGGTCCCTGGGTGTGGGCTTGGCTCCTACGGGAAGAGAATGGAGTGAAGTTGAGGGGGTCTGGGCAACAGAGTGACCCCTCCAGCCTGACTCAGCCCCCTCCCTATGTCACTCGGCAGTATGAGGAGCGAGTACTGAAAAAAATCCGCCGGAAAATCCGGAACAAGCAGTCAGCCCAAGAAAGCCGGAAGAAGAAGAAGGAATATATTGATGGCCTGGAAACTCGGTAAAGCTGGGTCCTAGGACTGCACACTCAGGGAGGAAGCCGAGACAGAGAGAGAGCGGGGAAGAGGGAGAAGAAGAGACAGAGAGACAGAGAGACAGAGACAGACAGAGTGTGCTAAGATCACAGTTTTTAGGGCCTGACAAGATTAGAGTCACCTTCCGTCTCCGGGAGAGACCATTTTTCATGTGAATTGCAAGGATGGGAAGATGCCGGTGGGGCCTACGTGGTACCAGCAATAGTGAAAATCAAAACGTGTGAGATGCAGCTAAGGCGGCACTGAGAGGAAAATGTATAGCCTTAATTCAGCTCAGGGAGCCGAACACGCACATTTAAAAACCAGCGAAAGAACCACAGGAGGGGTTGGGGTGGTGGCACTGGACAAGGGTTTCAGGGTCCCGTTATCCCCTAGAAAGGAGATGGCACGACCCACCTTGTCCTGGCTCTCTGCCTGAAGATTCGGGGTGCTTACTTCCCTTGTCTGAGGTCACTGGTCCCCAGAGCTGTCATGGCTTTACCAAGAGCGACCTTATGGAATGTTACAGGTCTATTTGGGTTTTCAGTTTTTTCCTGGCAGTTTTGGGATGTCACGTGTTTCTGAGAAGTTGCCCATTTTAAATGTATCGACATAAAATGGTCCACAGTTTTCTCCTGTTATTTTTTTTCTTTAAAGTTCTTGGTTTATTAATCCTCTCATGAAAAATCTCACCACCAGATCGTCACGGATGAATCTTTTTACTCCTTCTTCTCGCTCACAGCCCCCCGACTTTCTTCATTCTATCCTTTCTTCATTCGTTCCTCTCACTGATTCCTCGAGGTCTTTTCCTTCTCATCCAGGCCGCGTCTTCCAAGTCTCTGTTCAGCTTCATTTTTCTTCGCGTAATCCAAAGACTCACGCATCATGGCACAGCCGGTTGTCTCGCTGCCAACCAAAATGGGCTCGGAATCCGAACACCACGATGGCATCTGGAGCGGTCTTGTACATCGCGGCTAGTTTTTCCCGAACTTCCGTCTTAGGCAGTGTTGCCTTTGCAGGATGAAGGACATGGGTGGCCGTTCGTTCCTGTCGAAGCAGCCTATTGGTCATGAACGTCCTGGTCCAGATAGTGACTGTGGCGTTCGTGGTGGCGGCCCTCAAGCAGCTGGGGAGGAAAAGAGCTCGCCGATTATTTTGTACCCTTTTTAATAACTCATGTTTATTTGCGCCTTCTCTTTCTCTTTTATCTTTTTGATCTATCTTGCCAGAGGTTTGTCTATTTTATTATTCTCTTCAGAGAATGGATTTTTGGCTTTTCCTCCCACCCAGGTGTATCTTTTTCTTTTTCTTCTTCTTCTAGTTCTTTCGTTTCTACTCTCAGCTTTGTTATGTCTTCCCTAAATTTTTTTTTTCGGTGTTTATTGTGTGGTTCTTTCGCTGGTTTTTAAATGTGCGTGTTCAGCTCCCTGAGCTGAATTAAGGCTATGCATTTTCCTCTCAGTGCCGCCTTAGCTGCATCTCACACGTTTTGATTTTCACTATTGCCAGTACCATGTCGTCCTTAGGTCTTCCCTAATTTAATTCTTCGTTATCTTATGAGTTATTCGGAAGGAGAACCTTTCAGTGAGGGAATTTTTTCTCTTCTCCGGTTGCGATATGAGGACCGACACATCCTCATGCCATGATCTGAGTATTCCAATTCGACATCCGAGAGGTCTGGGTCAATATCACATTCGCAGAGGGATGCAAATGGGAAAGGTGGGGGTCCCAGCCTGGACCCCAGGACCCTAGATGGGATGATCAGCATTGTCTTGTTTCTCAACTGCAATCTGCTAAGTCCCTACTCAACTTCGTTGACATCATTCTCCCAACCACTCTGTGAGCTAGGTAATCGTTAACTGCATTTTACACATGAGGGGACTGAGGTCAGGGGACCGAGTGGCTCAAGGTCACGGGGAGGGTGAGGATTGTAACTGTCCTCTGACTCCCACTCGCCCTGATGTTCCGTCTCCTGGAAGCATCGCTGCCCGAGTTTGGCATTCCGTCCCCAGGGCTGGGGGCTCAGATGAAGCTCCAGGGACCTAGGAGCCAGCAAGACTTGAGTTCGAATCCGGGCCCCGTCACAGACTTGCCAGGGTGACTTTGAAGAGTGACTTCCCCCCTTTGGCCTTGGATTCCCTGCCTGTAAAGTGGACCCTCAGAGGAAGATATGATGGGGACAGTTGGTGACAAGCATAGTCTGAATGTCACTGTGACATTGTCCCTGCAGGATGTCAGCCTGTACGGCCCAGAACCAGGAGCTTCAGAGGAAAGTCTTGCATCTCGAGAAGCAGAACCTGTGAGTCTCGGTCCAGCCAGGGCAGAGGAAGTGGGAGGGGCAGCCACCAGAGTCCTTGGCAGGAGAGGTGGACAGCGGGGTGGGGGACGACTTCTGTGGTGACAGGGCAGAGCAGGGGGTAAGGGGTTCAGGAGAGGGGGGGCAGGCTGCATAGAGGAGGGGATTGGATTTGGGGCCTTGAAGGGTGTGTAAGAGTTTGCCGGGGAAAGCCGCTCCCGGCGGGGGTGTGGCTTATGGACGGTCGGAGGCTGGGAGCACAGTATGTCGGGGAACCACACGTAATTCCGTCTCAGGGGTGCATCCATTTAGCCGATATTTGCTTAGCATCTACTCTGCATCAGGCATAGTTCTGGGCCCTGGGGTCATGGCAGTGAATAAAATAGACACAGGCCCTCCTCTTACAGAACTCACGGTGTAGTGGGAGACAGACTCAGGATCAATAAAAATATATAAACGATCACGTAAATAGTGATGGCCACTGGGAAGAGAAGGAAAGCAGGGGGAAGCCAGGAGGGTCAGACACGGTGACATTTGAGATGAGACTTGATGGGCGAGAAAGAACAAGCTACAGAAAGACCTGGGGGTGAAATAAGTCAGGCAGAGGAAGATAAATACCATATGATTTCACTGATATGCGGAATCTAAGGAACAAAAAGAACAAACGAATCAAAAACAGACTCACAGATATAGAGGACGATCTGACGGCCAGAGGGGAAGGGGTTGGGGGCTGGGAGAAAGGGTGAAGGGTTAAAGAAGTACAAATGAGTAGTCGAGAGATGGTCACGGGGGTGGGGAGCATGGCGTAGGGAATGCAGTTAGCATTAATGTATTGACTAGGTGGAGGGCAGGGGACAGAAAGAGCAATGAACTATAGAAA